CACCCAAGAATGATAATAATTATACCCGAATCCTAACAGTTTTTTTTATCCAGCTTTCTGTAGTTGTCCTGTTTATATAAATCTGTTCAATACATGAATCTTCAGAAGGCATATTAGCCAATGGAGTAAGGTGCGTGCCTGATAAGCTGAAGGTCCCGGGTTCAATCCCAACTAGACCTACATTTTTTTTTCTTTTGTCGAAGGGATGTCCCTGGGATATCCTTGGGACGTCCTAGGGATATCCCTTCTTTGTACTCGGTACATCCCAGGGACGTACCAGGAGGGACATCCCTTGGATGTCCTTTTTGTCTGAAAGCGGATGTCCCTGGGACGTCCCTAGTATGTACTTTGTCCCAGAAAAGATATCCCTGGGATGTCCTTATTTCAAATTAGGGACGTCCCTGGGAAGTCCCTAGGATGTACTCGTGTTGTTAGGGTGTATAAGGTTCACTTTTCGACATTTTGAAAATCAGAAAAATAATTTCGAGAGTTTCACTTTTCATCCACGAATAATTGATGAATCATTCAAGTAAATATATAGAAACAAATACAGGAAGCTCAAAGTCATTTCTACAAATTATAAGGGAATATAATGTCGACTTGATTTTCGTTCGGCTAGGCTACGCTTGGTCGGCGGTCTTAGGACTGCTCGCTGGAGACTGCCCTGCACTGATGGGAGTCAAAGAGCTCGAAACCGGTCTGTAGGTGTCTAGCGTGGCCTGGCTAAATCGAAATCTATAGGCATTTAGGAAAGAATCTTTTGTATCAGTATTCATTTATGCGAGTCGAAGCATAGATTGCGGGAGGATGTAATTCAATGTTCTGCGTGGCATCAGCCAGGAGAGTAGTTGTTTTTGTCCCGAAATCTACCATGAACAATTTTATGAACATTTTGTGGAAATGACTCTAAGCTTTTTGTATTTATTTAACATTTCATAAATTCAAGATGACGGCTTCCTAATAATTTTTTGTTTTTGTATAAATGACGATAACTCCGTTGTTATCAACACAAAACTATCACTGCGACATATCATCTGTAAGAGGAAAAAAAGTTATTTGTAACTAAGTCATAGTGAGCTATGACCTACATTTGAAAAACTAAAGTTGGTGCTGATATCTCAAATTCTAGAAGAGTTGGTATAAATTTCATATTTTTTTCGAAATCACTTTGAAAAATTGCCATGAGAATGTGAAATTCCTATTCGAATATTTTCATAAATAAAGAAGTTACGGAAGAGACATGAGAATGATCAAAATCTGTTTTCAGCGTATAAAACAAAAACGAATTTATTTTATCAAAATATTTTTTCACATTATAGTTGGCCTTGACAAACTCCACATTTGGTGTCATTTAACCGACCTCGTATCTCTCACCGTTAAAAAGATACCCATGGCGAGCATGGTAAGTGGGACATACTGTATAGAAGCGTTGTCATATTCAGAATTTGATCCTGGAGGGATTTTACTGACGAAATTTTGAAATACAGTGTGTCCACCTCACTGATTCAACAAGTGGCTAAATACGACCACCTTCAAAGTTTCAAACATTGAAACGAATGCAAATATTTCCAATACATTGAAGACTGGAACCTTTGGCAGAATAATACACTAAACTGTTTTACCACTAACCAGACCGATTTTTTTTGCTAACATATTGAGCGAAACACGTGTCGAGGCATAAAAAAAATTGGTTTGGTTGGGGGTAAACCAGTGTAGTGAAATATTTCGACCTCTAAGAAAGCTCTTCGTGTTCTGTTGAACAGCACCAATGAAAAAATGAACATCAAAAAACAAATTTGGGTTGTGACCCTAATGAAATCAATCATTCACTTGATTATTTACTATTTTATTTGTTCAATTTTCAAATAATTCGGTGATTTTCGTTAGACTGTATCATATTAAATTTCTGTGCTTATAATATATGGACTTATTTCAAGAACACCACCACGAACAATATAACCCTATTAAATCAAGCAGATTCGAAAGAGATTCGAGTGTTTCGTTCAAATTCCAATTACCTGATACTTTTCTCACAAGATTACATCGTTCACTGTGATTAATATCTAGAATACTGAATATTCTTCTCACAAAAGGAAGTGAATTCTATACTCCGCTTCTTGTGATTCGTAATTCCCCATGGAAAAATTTTTATACAATGGAAACATTTGTGAGATCTCCTTTTCATCTAGACCCCCCCAACAAAATTGTGCTATAAGTTATATGAAATCGATTGTGGATTGTGAACTTCCGGAATTTATTTTGTTTTCCGTATTCCTACGATATATATCAGTCTTGGCGAAAACTTTTATCGTTCGATTTCGACTTCATACTCTATTTCTTATTTGTGTCGATGCATTGGCATGTAAAAGCTTGGTCATCATTTATTTTGATAGGTCAGAGAAGAGAGGAGCATTGATTTGCTGAGAATTTTCTTCCTTCTTTTTGCAAGACAAGCTATAAACACACTATATGGATCATTTTTTCTACTACGACTATTGTAAGTTGTCAATGTTGTAATGAAAATTGATTGAAGTCAGCATTGTGCCTGATTTTGCGTTTAGGTTCCCAGATAGAGAAATTTGCTAAACGCAGTGACATTTTGGGACAAATCATCTGATTACTCCTACTACACATATATTCAAATAATACTCATATTTTTATTTTATATAGAAACGAGGAGAGAAAATCGTAAATGATCAAGTGAAATGAACTCACTAGAGGATAAGAGCTGTTTTAAGGAACAATGAAACATATCTTGTGAGTCTAACTGAGCCTTGATATGTTTCATAATTCATAGGTGTTAAGAAAGAACAGTTTCATTCGACGAGACATTTTATGCGGAATGTCTGTATGAGGATTCACTACTTCAATGTGATGTATATTCTGTGGATTCGACAGTTCGGAAAAGTATCTACTGATCTTCAAGAAAACGTGTGTAATGAGTCAATCTACAAGACTTGATGTGTTTAAGGATTCATCAGTGTTGACGATAGGCTGATAGTCCATTGTCATTTAATTGATGACTTTTTGGCATTAAGGAACCTCTATCCTTTATTCATCGTTCAACCAGTACAATTCCAGTGATCTTTGTAATATGAATTATACCCATTATATTTCGACAATGCTGTAGAAATAGTGTCATCTTGTACTACTACTATTAGGCATTCCAGAACACGTGACTTTTGACATATTTCTAATGGCCGCTTGTAGGCACACAAGTTTTTTTTTGTTGATTTACGTAGCAGCAGTATAATCTTTGGTAGATATATCAAATAATAATAATAATGGCTGTTTTGAATAAAATTGGATATTTATTATCCTTGGACCGCTATAACAAAGATATTGCCACACGAAAGTATGTGTGCCTACAGTCGGCCATATTGATTTATATGGTTTGACAGCATCTTGGATAGGTTAATTGTACTATTGTTAGGTTAGGTTAGGTTGAGTTAGGTTAAACGTGAGTGGACCCATGTCAGGTCCTCCACTGCGGCCTATGGCCTATTGTGGCTCACCCTATGGTTTTATTTCTCCCAGTATATATCTAATCTCTTGGCAAAATTAAAGAGTACGTTGGGAAAACAATTTATCAGGTTTTCTGGCCCTACTGTTGTATTGTCAAATGTTGAAAATCTGATTCTGGCCGCTGCAGGGCATGTACCAAAAATGTGTTTAGCCCTTTCATCCTCCTCCATTCATAGACGGCATTCTGCATCTTGTGCATGTGGTGTTTGAGTTTGCAGTGGCCAGTGAGCAAACCTACTGAGTTCTAGTAGTTCGTCAGAGTCCTGTTTGTTCCTTGTACAAGCAATGAATGCTTTGGAATGGGCTAGGCCCGGTAGACTGCGCCAATACTCGAGTCTCTTGTTGTCGGCCAAGATGTTATTTATTCTTGGCCAAGCTATGTGCTATACCGATTACCGGTTCTGGCCCAGTGAACGACGTTTCGCCCCCGCCCCCCTTTTGCTAGGACGTATGTTATTTCGTTTCCTTCTAGGCTCGTCTGACTAGGTTAACGCTATTGCGTTGTGCCAGCCGGTTGTAGGTTTCTCTGCAGTTCCATACTGCTCTGAATTTGAAGCAGTTTGATTCAAGTGCTTTCAGTGCTGCTTGACTATCTGAGAATATCTTCATTGTTTTTTGTGTGTGGTGTCGATTTTCCAGCTCACTTGCACACATTTCAATGGCGTATACCTCTTCCTGGAATATCGTAGCCAGTTCACCCATACTGAATGAGCGTTTCACTACTGGGTTCATCCCGTATATTCCGGCTCCGACTCTTTTTAAAGTTTTGAAGCCATCGGTATACCAGCATTTATTCACCCTACATAGGTTAATAGTTTCATTCCGAACTCATTCTTTTCTTTCAGGGAAGCCCAGTGTAGGACGTGTGGAGATTGGTAGTTTTAGGCATATTGTCTGAGGGCATTCCCAGAATGTTGTGAGATATTATACCCTCCAGCCCTACAAAGGTTATAGTTTCATTCCGAACTCATTCTTCTCTTTCAGGGAAGACCAGTGTAGAACATGTGAAGGTTGGTAGTTTTAGGCATAATGTCTGAGGACATTCCCAGAATGTTGTGAGATATTATACCCTCCAGCATTTTGCTGCTTTTCATGACCACTGCCTGCGGTAGACTAATGGACGCTTGATGGAGTCTGTGTGTTGCCCATCTTGCCTCTCTCTCCAGCATTATGTGGAGAGGAAGTTATCCGAGAAGGTCTTCCATTGTTGCCGTTGGCGTCGAGCGACTGGCCCCTGTAATCGCCAGACAAGCTTGTCTCTGTAGTTCGTTAAGTTCAGCTTGGGCCATTTTCTGTTGGAGCAAAACCAGACTATAGAGCCATACGTGATTATTGGTCGTATGACGGTCACGTACAGCCAGTATACTTGTTTTGGTGACATGCATCACATTTCACCACATATTCTGCGGCATGTCCATAATGATAGGCTAGCCTTCCGGATAGTCTTTTTCAGGTGCGAGTTCCAATTTAGCTTTTTATCTAGGGTGATTCCCAAATATTTTGCTTCCATTGATGGAAGGAGGTCTTAAATTTTCCAGCTCCCTTTTCCTGGTGAACGATACTATGACCATTTTGTGAGGGTTAATGGACATTTCCTCCTTCTCACACCATTCATATATGGTGTTCAATATATCCTGAAGCACGTAGGAGATCATCTCTTTGGATTTATCGCGTATTAATAGGACCAGATCGTCAGCATATGCTTGCAGGTCGACCTCCCAGATCGAGAGAATGGCCAGCAGATCATTCACGAGCAGTGACCACAGCAGAGGGAAGAGGACTCCCCTGAGGGCAGCCCCTTGCCGGTCTGAAGCTGACTACTACTACTACTATTGTACCAGCACAATCAAAATGCAACATACGTATTATATGATTGAAACAGCGATGAACATGTACTTTTTTATCGCCGAAAAGTAGTGCCAGCAGTATCCCATCGATTGAATCAATGGGCCATCAAATTGCCAGTTATGTCGTGTTTGCTGGGTGAATTCCGTGAGGGTGTGAACAGTGATGGAACAAATCTACTCACCGAATGGAGCACCATAATTGGCAAATGTAGGCACTCCATGCGCAATCCTAGTAGACGTCGTGCTGACTGTCGAAGATACTGGAGCTGCTGCAGCTACGACCTGCGCTGTGGTCGGAAGCGCAGCTGCGGGCGCAGCGGCTACGGTCGGGGCGCTGGCTACTACGGTAGCTGCTACGGGTGCTACGAGAGGGGCTGGGGCTACGACAGAGGCGGCTGCTACTAGGGGTGTTTTGCGAACGGTGGCTTGGAAGCCGTTGATGGGATCGGCGGTGTAGTCGACGGTGCGTCGGGTGCCGTCGGGATCGTTGAGAGAATAGGAACCTGCAACAGATATAGGCTATATTTCGAATTCAACTTGTAAGTACTGTCAGTAAATCCACTGAATCTGCTGGAAATTTGTGTTCCGAAATATGAAATCGAAAGTGCAGTGCTGTAATTCGAAACACGTTTTCATTGTTTTCATAAGTAATCAGCTGGTGAAATTTGAATATCATTCCCAGCGTCAATTATTTTGATAACAGGCATTTTCTGATATCAATTATGATATTATTGATTTATTATTGATTAAAAAGACTCACTGTTTGAGAAACAACGGAAACAAATGTGACATTCCTTTCCCCTTTGAAATAATGACAGTTATTCATTGAATCCACACTACCTTTTGATAGTTAGCAATTCCAGCAGAATGTTGCGTCGAAATATTTGGAATGAATAGTATGTCTGCTCACAACTATCTGTCACTTGATTGTCAGTGATTTTATTTGATTTCGGAATGAAAAATCAGCAGATTCAGTACTGTCAGTTGAATTCGGAATATAGCCAACGGAACAGTATAGTCAGTATAGACCGAGAGGTTGGTGACAAAAAAAATGCAGCAGTTTTCTAAAGGCTGAAATTTCGATATTAGGTAGTATTCAGGTAGTATAGCAAAAGTATACCGCGTCAGCCAGTTTCGTCGGCAATTAGCGTACGGGCGACTTCAAAGTTGTTAAAAAACCATGATGTGTGTCGCAACAGTTTTTCAAAAACTGGAAATTGATTTCGGTATCGCAAATCAACTAAAAAAATGATGTGGATACCGTCAGTCTTCAAGATATAGTGACGAGACAGCAGCGCGTCAAAGTCATAAAAAAGTATGGTAGATAGTGAAACTGTTATATGAAATGTTGAATATGGTATACATATATCTACTACTCATAAAAGAATCATAGCTGTCCTCAAAGCGGGACCTACTTCTGTCTCTATATATAGGTAACGATATCGACCAATAGGTGTTGATGTCGACGTAGGGAAAAAATAATACGACAATATGGCTAATTATTTCAAATGTTTCTTACTTCACTTTTCGTCCTTATAGATTCAAAAAGTACCTCTCATTTTGGTCCCATTTTTGTTGAGATATCTTATAGGCGATGTCCTATATATAAAAATAGTACATATATGATGGTATACAAGTTGTTAATAATGAGAAACATCACAAAAATATAGTCAGCCCGAATTTATTTTCAATTCTAAATTGAGCTGAGTTCGAGTTGTGACGCGAAGTAAGTGGTAATTTCATGTTAATAGACCTCAAATTTGAGCTAATTTCTACTCGAAATTCAGAGTGTTGTATATTATTATTCGTTCTATCTCGTCCTATTTTCCTCAAAAACGGTTTATATGTCATCAACAATAAACACAAATAACAAGGATACCCTCATCAATGTCCTACATATCGAATTCTAGACGAATAATACCACTTATACTTTGAAAATTTTTCAAGAATAATCCTAAAAACTATAGTTTATATGTATAAGATATTTAAATTCTAGAGATCTTGAAAATCTTCCTGGACACAATATATAATGAATATTTGATGATATAATTCTGAAATTTCAGTTTCAATTATAAATAAGCATACACCTCTAGTGGTCAGCCACGATAGAACCATCTGGGGACGCAGTGGAGGGGTGGTATTCACCCCACTCCTCGCCCCACTCACATGGAACCTATAACCTACCCTACCAATTGAATTCATGTAAGGTTTATATTCCTCTGTATATCAATACTTTAGCAAAGCGCACATTCCGAAATAATCGAAAATCTTCTACATACCTTGGACGATGTCTCCATTTCTGGTTTCGACCTGACTCTTGCTGTCCCCCGTATATGGATCGTCGACACCGTATCCGAAAGTATATTGAGGGCTGTGAAATCCGCTGTCTACTACAGCTGCAGCACTAGCTGCTGCCAAGAAAGCAGCCAAAACAACAACCTATAAACCAAAAATAATGGGCTAAGGGGCTTATTCTTTTAATCATTCTGGGGAAAAGAGGAAAAAATACGAGAATAAAACATTCATGAGTTTTTTTAAGAATCACCTTCAGGTTATCCTTCATCAAACTAAAATGAACTCGGGCAGGACGGGGTAGTGTGTCTTAAGTCTGATAGATAATTGAAGAATCACTGTATGTATACCTCAACGTAGATGTTGATGAACGAAAATCAACGCTTACAGATTTGTTGGTGATTTTTTATTGTCTGTTACCATACCTGAACATTTCTATTAGGATGAAAGGATTCTTGACGCAGAACTCCTTGAGGATCCTGACTTTGATAATCTTGGCTCATTGACATATTTCGGTTAACGTACGATAATATTTGAGGTATACGTGGAAGTACATTAGATGAGAATTGATATGACTCACATACCTGTATGCCCACTAACAACGCAAACGTGAAAAATTGAAATGTAGGTATATACAGCGTTATCAGCTATGTTTGCTTGTTATTGTGGCGAGTACTAACGTCAGTGCCATCTATATAGTATAAGACACAATTTTTTCTACGGTTAAAACATAAGATTGGTCTTGGTTAACTGTGTTCGATACATCAATGAGGTACTTTGTATGTCATCAATTTCATTTCCGTATGTGATATCACAATGACTCCATTGTGTTATTATTTGAAAAAAAAACTCATCGCCCATGGAATATCAAATTTCAAGCAATGACAGCTTTGTCTGATAGATGAGCATTCCTTGACGGGAAATCAGATAGCTACAAGACGAAGAAATCGAAAATGCTCCTATTATCTATTATATAGCCGTAGAAAAATTATAGTATATAACTTGCACGGAATGCTAATTTTCTACTCGAATGTAGGAAATCACTATCATTCTGTGCTCGTTAAACAATATACTATTGTCACACACGTGCTCCAAAAAACTAGTGCGATAATATGTCTCATTATAAATCGTGTGTAATAGAGTTTTTTTTGCATTCATTTGTACTCTTCATCAAAAAAACTTCCATCAATAAAATCATATGCATGTTCATTCTCTATTTTGACCTATGGTAGGAAATTCATTGTGTCTGACAGTTTGACGTTACCATTATCAACTTTGAAAGAGGAAACTCAGCGTGTCCTAATAGAAGGTGTTTTGATACGCATTTGGGTATCAGACATTCTGATATTATCAATATCAATTATGTTTCAATTGATCATGGAATGACTGTAGGCAATTCGACTCCAAGAATAACAAATTATGAATAATCAATGAAACAAAAAAACAATAAAGTGAATATGGTCGGTGTGATTCTGGTATCATTGTTTCCGTAAGCAATAAAAATATAATGAAAAATTCAACGAACAAGAACATACTATGTTGGGAAATATGTAGACAGCTTTAAATTCTCATGAGAGGACACGGTCTCTTCTAGCATCACCCATTGGGCGCCCATAAATATACAAGGTGGTCCAACAAAAATTGTACACCCTGATTATAGGCCTTTCGAATGAAAATCCGGAAAAACGCTCGGATCCATCGATTTCTGATTTGAGGGAGAATGACTTGTCTGCTTTCTTCATCCCCGTAACTTCAAGCCCTACTAGGGGGATGCTCAACCCCGCATTTTGAATAGGGATGTGGGGTGTTGCGATACCCCATGTTGTAGGTTCCATCGAGAACTATTCGACTCTCTAATTTCGCGTCAAAATTTTCATTGATATCGAAATTATAACTAGTGGAAGAGGCAATGTCGAATTAACCTCGAAAATACTATTCTTATTATACAGTGCTCGTCTGAAGTCCCGTCCCCCCTCCTACTAATTTTTGAGAATTATTTTCTTGAATGGAACACCCCGTATATTATTCCATTCTCGATATTGTCTCATTATTTTTGAAGGAGTCATCCGTTACACTATACCCCTTGAATAGTTCGAAAAGTAACATTTTGGTCATTTAAACCCAACCAAAAACTCGGAATGTTTCTTTCGATCGAGTTTGCTACGAAAAAAAAATCGTTGTCGCGGTGCCATCTTATTTTCAATTTAAAAAAAATATTCAATATGGTGCTCAGCCGCCATTTTGAAACATTGAACTGTTGTTTCCTCATGAAAAAGTAGGTTTGCATCTCCTATTTGAGCCGTCCAAATTTCGTTGCTAAATACCATCAGGTGGTTCAAAATTAGTAGGCGGGGGGGACAAACTTTAGAGGGGCACAGTATAGAGTAATTCGAAAATTATTTATTTAAAGAGTTTGTGGACGCACAATCTTTTCGATTAACCTCAGTTCATCGTGAATAGGTTGCGTGAAAGATCCGTCAGATGACCGGAGGTAAACATTGAAACACAACCTCACTCTTCTTATTCGTTCACAATGGATTGAAATATTTTTTTCGGCTATTCAATAATAATTCAAGCATGTCATCATATTGTCCTGTTATACAATGCACAAAAAATTCAGCGAGAGACGAAGGAATCCGATTTTTTCTGGTAGGTAACATTGTGATCTTAAAGTACTATAGTCACTCACATAATTATAGTTTTCATTCTGAAATTTTGTCATTTCTCATTGGAATTCCTTCTGCAATAGAAGAGCTAATAGAAATACTCGTGGAGTTTCAAAAAGAAGGCAAGAAGATTAGATTCATGCAATCAAACGGAAGGACTGGTCTGATGTACTGACGAAACATGATCGTGTGTGTAGTAGACATTTTCACTCTATTAGCAGTATTAGCATATATTGCAAGAGTGGCAGAAGGAATTTGAATGAGAAATTACAAAATTTCATGATGGAAACTATGTGCGATCACTATTTACCTGAAAAATCATATTCATTCGTCTCTCGCTGCATTTTTTGTGCATTGTACAATAGCACAGTGTGATGGCATGCTTGAATTGATGGATAGCCCAAGAAACACGATTCGTATGCCAAAATATATCCTTTGTGAACAAATATAAGAGAAGTGAGGTTGTGTTTCAATGTTCCACAGGAAAGTGAGGTTGTGTTTCAATGTTAAACAGAAAAGTGAGGTTGTGTTTCAATGTTTCATGTTGGTGTTCACGATGAACTGAGGTTCATCGAACAGATAGTGCTCCCATAAACTTTCTTGTGACACATTGCCTCTTCCACCAATGTATCTTTCATTCCGTTATTGCTAAAATTTTTACGCGGAATGAGAGGGTCGGATAGTCCTCGATGAAATCGTCAAAATGAGGTCAGGCTTCCCCCTCGTTGGGGGTTGAAAGCAGACAAGTCATTCCCCCTCGAATCAAAATTCGACGGCGTCGTGTCCGAGCGGTTTTCCGGATATTCATTTTAAAGTCCTGAAATCGTTGGACCACCCTGTATGGAGTAAGTTGTTTCCCTGCCTCGGGGCAGTTGTGCCCTCATATACAACACGATATATGTAACTTTACGTGATGACGTAAGAAAGAACGGAAGAAAAAATGACAAAGGTGAAACTTCTGAAAAAATCTTTTGGGGTGCACTGAGGAAAAGGTTTCGGGAAAAGGCTTGAAAAAATCATGATTCAGGAATAGGCCTGGTGAATCACTACGATTCCTATATCATTCGCGACCCAAATAACAAAAAAAATCGGTATTTTTGATATGAACGAAAAAAAAACATTTTGTTTTATGTTCAAGCAAATCCAATGATGAATTTAGTGATGAATGATCAAATTCCTCCCGAAGTTATTTCTTGAGAATGATTATTCGAATCTTTAACATTATATGAGTTTAAGGAGAACATTAAATCGATAGTCAGTGACACCTTATTTCAAAAATGCATTATTTTCCATGTTTTTGTCAGCAGATTCGTTCGCGAAACGTCCAAGCATGAGTGACACTTTATATTTTTGCAATACTCCACTTCTTCATACATTTTTGAAACAAGGTATCACTGATAATCAATTGAATTTTTGTATCAGGTTTCCAATAGTAATCCCAAAAATAAGCTTATTAACCACCCCCTCAGAATTGGCCCGTCGTTAGGAAACATTCTGTATGATGAGACTCACCTTCGATGACATCTTCTAGTTTACTTGCACTGAAACACTAAAGACAAGTGATCCCACCGGCACCCGGTAGCAATGTTTATATAGGTCGGCTTATTGCTACGCATCTTTGAGATGGTGTATTCCACTAGGAAAGAGTGGAGCAGTTAATAATGACGGATAGATTTGGAGGGTGAAACAGAGGGGTACACTGAGAGAAATATTGTTATATGGAACTGTATAACCTTCAAAAGATATCTGAATTGAATGGGCGCTAGCATAGTTCACTTTTCACTGTAATCAATCAAATCCATCATTTCAGAAAAATCATATAACAGTGAAACAATACTCATATTAGAATGAAATAACGCTCATAGAGGGCACAAATGATTAGCATTTCAATATTGAATAGTGATATTATGAAACTGAAATAATACTCATTTCAATATAATTTGCTTTCAATTTAATAGTCAAATTGGCATTTCAATATTAGGGTGATTAATTTTTTCTCCAAAAAAATGTAGTGGGTTCGAGATCGTGCGGAAATATTGAAGATTAGTACATATACTAACCCCTTAATAGAGTTTTTCATTGAAACTTCAGGGCATCGAAGTGCATTACAAGGGCGAGATACTCAGTACACAATATCTCAATTTGCCTGCGATAAAAATGCTCCCAATTTGGAGTATTTGATCTTCCTGTCACTTTGTGACCTTGTAGTATTAGTTAACATATTTGTCGAAAATTTGTCGTCAGTAAATAGCGTTTCACGAATCACGAAACGGAAACGAAAAACCTTTATTTCTTCTCACGAATTGTTGGCAAGAATTCTTGGGAATTTTGAAGCAGCAGATAAAATCATACGAATCAAATAAATATATATACACCGTGTCCAAGATAAGGATACGAAGACATCCTCTTCTTGGACATTCTGTATACGCAATTCAATCTATCACCGATATAACTATGTAAATCCAAGCTCCTGCCACTTCAGTGAATAGTTAGGTAGATCATGAATACATGATATTATCCAAATTTAAAAAATTCACGATACATTACTGATTTATCGTGAAAACACTATACTGTCCTGATGCAGTTCATTTATCTGTAGTCCCTCAACAAGTCCTATACTTGGAGGGGTATATGAACGAATATTTCCCTAAGAATTATCATCCTTTATAGTCGGGGCTAAATTCCAAAAAAAGCCCTCCGTTACAATCCTAGAAGCATTTCATGTAACAATTGGATAAATGCTGTTAACCCCCTATTTTGACCCCGCTGAATCTGAAAATACCGTTTATCAAGTCGAAATTCTAACCGGAAGTGAGATATTCAAGATGGCGTCCAGAATACCCCTAAAATCAAATTATTTTCTACTTTCGGTCAGCTATACGATTGAGGTGTCGATGTCTATGTTTTCGGGGGTGTAGAATACGATGAGACACTCAAAAAATGATTTGGAGCTTTGAAAGTTCATCGAATGATCAAATTTTGACGAAATGGGCCAAAATTCCAAAGAACTTGTGAAAACGTGTTGTATAATGTACATGCTTGCATACGTTTTCGAGGGTGCTCGATACGTTTGAAACGGCAGACGCAGCCCGTGTTGCAATTTTTGGGACAGTGCGAATGATTTTTGCCATCTACCACTGATGCTATCCATCAACACATTCTTCGGTGCCACTTCCAGATAAAATTAACAAGAATAAAAAGAAAATAGAGAAAATCGAGGGATTTTAATTTCAGTCTGTTTTCTTTTTAGGTAGGTACTAGTGTGTGGTTTAACGCCCATGATCAGTATCTTGATTCACCAGACCCGATTAATTGCGGCTGGAAAATTGGTGATGGACGGTAAGTCCCAATCTTGATGACTTTGCTACCTATTCCCAAGTCATGTCCCGAATTTGGAGCTTGTGGCTGCATGGGGCTCTGCGGCCACTGCGGCACGAAGCAGTGTGGCTGCAGGGAGCCGAATGGAGCAGAAAAGATGAGGAATACTACTAATAGTGAACTTTTTTTTTCAAAATATAAGAAATGAAGGCTTGGACAATGTTCAAATGGTTTTTTGGCTCATAAACGTATCGAGCACCCTCGAAAACGTATGCAAGCATGTACATTATGCAACACGTTTTCACAAATTCTTTGGAATTTTGGTCTATTTCGTCAAAATTTGTTCATTCGATGAACTTTCAATGCTCCAAATCATTTCTTGAGTGTCTCATCGTATTTTACACCCCCGAAAACATAGACATCGACACCTCAATCGTATAGCTGACCGAAAGTAGAAAATAATTAGATTTTAGGGGTATTTCGGACGCCATCTTGAATATCTCACTTCCGGTTGGAATTTCGACTTGATAAACGGTATTTTCGGATTCAGCGGGGTCGAAATAGGGGGTCAACGTCATTTATCCAATTGTTACATGAAATGCTTCTAGGATTTGGCTTTTCGCAAAACAAGCCCCGACTATTAAGAAGGGTTCGCGAACTGCTGCGGGCTAGGGGTAGACGACTAACGATTCTAATGGAACAATTGTTCACAAGTGAGTGAGATGACTCATTGTGATGAACGAGTATGACAAAGATGGTAAATAAAGAAGGGATGGAACTTGAATGATACTTGTATAACTGTGAAATAACATCTTTTAGGATTTAAATTAATTTGTTTCAAATTCCATCTTCTAACTATAACCTTAATGTTCCATTTCAAATCTATAAGGTAACATCTTTTTAACAAGAAGAGTGATTTGAAAAGATGACCTGTTTCAAGTTGAAAAGGTTGACTTTTCACGTTCATTAGATCACATTTCGTGTTTAAAATGTTTCATCAAGCAGTTATAGGATGTTTCTGAATAGAGACTTGAATAACTGGATTTTTCTCGGTGTAGTGATAATTCTATATTTGAGAAAATTCATCGATGGAGAATTATGTTCGATGTTATTCACCATGTGTAATCAGTGTGTCCCTGGAGTACTTTTATGAAAGTCAAATTTCACAAATGATTTCAATCACTCCTTCCTCAGCAGAAAGAACACAAAAGAGATGATCCAGTTTCCAGGTCATGCTGTGACCTTTTGGTAGTTGAAAACGGATGAATTTTTTAAAAGATTTTCATCTGAATCTGGAAAAACCGTCTCATTTATGGAATCCTACTTTTGTGTGTAAGATTTTAGGAAAACTTCATACGATATATTCTGTTTTCGTCGACCTCAACAAAAAAGCTTATTTTACCTTCTAGACTAGTACTCTTCGTCTGCAAACACTTTTCGTCCGCTGTAGGGTTGTCAGCTCTACTGAATCTATTGAAGCATTTCATAATCTAGTGAAAAATATTTTGACACTTATTCATCATTATAATTACATATAAATTGCATGATATTTCGGCACGCTTTTTTTTAATCAATTTCACCAAATGAGTACTAATCTTTGATAGAAGTCCATTGTTTCTCAAAGTGGAGTCAAGTATCAAATACTAAATGATACACAAAGCCATCTCCACGACATTTGATGTGATTACAACACATCAAAAATTGGTACATGTTTCGGACATATATATGTCCATCATCAGCCTTATATCGAAATCTTCCTAGATTTATTGAATGATATAGACAATGGCCAGTTGAACACTCTTATTTATCGTGAACCAACACATACTGATTCAGTCATTCCTTTTACTTCATGCCACCTGATATCACATAAATTAGCAGCGTTCAATTATCTCTTTCATGGAATGTTTAAGAACCCCTTGAGTCCTTCTGACTTCAAAAAATAACACTATATTATCAAACACATTTGGACACAACAATGGATATCCCACATATCTTTTAGATAGAATTTTCAACAGACATTCACAGAAATCCTCAAATCAGACTTTAGTACCGTTGAACAACACTCGGACACGTTTCTTCTCAATTCCTTCTCTAGATGAGGTCTCCAACGACATTGAAAATATTTTTCACAGACATAGCGAAGATATAAACATTTCCTTTTAGTGATGCCCAGTATATCGATCAGAGTGGTCGTAGTATTCAGACTCGAGTCAATGAGCATGTCAAACTTATAGAAAAATTTACATAGAGGTACCTATTGATGATTCGTATAAATCAAAAAAGGATAATACTTCATCTGTCGAATCAAATTCAATATTTTATTAACCTCTGTTATGACAGTTTTTTTTACGTTCAATTTTTTTAATTTGTTCTGTATTTTTGTTGTTCATTTTTACTATTCGTTCATGATTTTTATATACTCAAATCTTATAATAAGTACCTATGTAACTGTATTTTGTGATATTTGTGAATTGTGAACGGTTTGTGAATTGTGCCCTAAATACTACATAATTTCCCTAATATCTCTCCCATTTTTGCATGAGACGCCAATAATCTTGCTCATGTCTCCCCTATGTCATATATTTCTTCTATTCCTACGATCGTAGTTTGTCCGCGGTTCTTGATCTTGAACACGCCTAAAGAAGGTCACTAACGTTGGTTGTATCATTCACGAGTCAATACAGAAAAGGAGAATGATAGGGAGGATTCAAATTGGCTGCTGAAAATACCTAACAAGAAGTTCTCGCCAATGTACGGGATCAAGGAAATTCGGATTCGGTTCTTCTGTTTAAGAGGAGAAGGAAGTTTTTTTCTATGGATGATTTTTGAAGTGAAAACTTCTTTTTGCGCGATCAACACTCTTTTTTTTTGGTTCAGAAATGCATTGGATTTCGCTTCATCGTCACGTCAACATAGTCACTTTATAGCAAAACATCTGAAGGGAAAATCTCATGGAGTTTTTTGTGATTATGATGCGATTCTATTCAAAATCAGTACATGAAGGTTTTCGGGGTCGGAAATTATGATTCCTTCTTGAAAATTCAGATATTCAAGATGGTAGATCCAATATGGAGGACGAGTTATTTCATTATTTTTGGAAGTTCTGGTTCCCACGAAAAGGGATATCTTGTAATGTTCAGAGAAGATCGTGAGAACCAAGGGAAATAAGGTAGGCATTGGTGTTCTTCTTAAATTTCTGGAGGTTATATGTCTCGTGAAACACCTCCCTTGGTATCTGGAATTTTCGCTGTCGGAAATTATGATTTTTTTGCCAAAATTTGGAAATTCAGGACTGCGGAACCAATATGACTAACAAGTTTTGTAATTATGATCCGATTCTATTCAAAATTCGTATATGGCGGTTTTGGGATCGAAGATTGCGATGTCTTCGTCAAAATTAGAAAATTCAAGATGTCGTATTCAATATGGCGGACGAGTTTTGTAATTATGATCTGATTCTATTCAAAATTTGTATCGGCGTGTTTTCGGGGCCAGAAACTACCATTCCTACGTCAAAATTAGGGAATTCAAGGTGGCGGATTCAATATGGCAGCCGAGTTTTGAAATTATGATCCGATTCCATTCAAAATGTGTATGTGAGGGTTTTCGGTGTCGGAGATTTTGTTTCTATCGTCAAAATTGGGAAATTCAAGCTAGCAGATCCAATATGGCTGACGAGTTTTGTAATTATGATCCGATTTTATTCAAAATTTGTATCTGGGGTTTTTGGGGTCGGTTGGCAGTCCCCAAAGACTGTCTCCGCAGTTTCTTCACGTCTTGGGTGTTTTGCATATACCTGAATATCACGTAATGGAATCCGTATTTATTCTGACAATTATTAACCTAGTAAGCGAGATCATTCTGTCGATGGGGTTGTACACACTAATCGAATTCTCGCCCTATTTCTATTGTATTTTTTCATGTATCAGTATTCGCGATACAGTCATTCATTATTCAAAATCATCCCAAAGTTTTGTCTCATAATGAAAATAATCACCTACCAAAAACTCTCGATAACGTAATATATCGATAAGCACCATTTGTCAAGAACCAATGAAAATATTATCAAATTCTTCATCAAATAACACACCCTCTGTATATGAATACATTTTGTGTTACATTCCCAAATTGACAAAGTTGACAGAGTAAATTACTCAAAATTATTCCATTTTTCTAGCGTATAGGTGTTTTCCAGAGTCTCACAAACACTTACCAATATCAGAAAATGTGGAATTCAGTTGTGATTTCAATATTCAAAAAAAAATACTTCAAGTGACGAATGAGAATCAATTTGGAGATTGCTTCACACCTATATATGGAATATTTTCAATTCCGAATTCAGAAATCTGTTCAAAAATCGATATTTTATGTAAATGAATCGTTCTATGATTTTGATTAATCATACCAGAACCTCAATAATGTGGGTTTCAAAGTCACTGATATAATTATTAGTTCACGATTTATACAGAGTGTCTCAAGTCAAACTCGTCTAACTTCTACAATCGATAAAAACATTTTCAAATATTATTCACATGGTGTGGAAATTATTTTTCGATTTACTGGGTGTTGAAATTTCTCATATTGTCGAGTCATCTGATATTGAAGCCTTCTGAAATATCAATCGGGACGCAACTATTGCTGTGATGAACTAATCGCAAATTATCCTCATTTCTTTAGCTGCTTTTCTATCCTCAATTTGTTGTAAGGTCTTCCATAGTTCTCGTGTTGTTTGAAAAACAACTAACATATACATTGTTTTCTTCTCACAGGGTTTCTTCTTTATAGATTTGCTGATGATGAAGGATTAATCCTTCGAAACATGTCTTTTTGTCCATGACCGTTGGTCTAATTAAATTGTTCATGTGATGGAGTTGTGACTGTAAGTTCTTTCACTACTCCTAAATGAAGTTAGTCAATGGCACCAACAGCATTAATAAAAATATCCCAATAACCAATTCTTCAATATTGATGAAAAAATGATTATGTTTCTTGAACCTCAGTATCCGGCATAAACTGAGCTTTTTCAGCTATATATGTGAATAGAATTTCCTATGATGTACTTATACTTCGACCTATATTGAAATTTGTCAGATAACAACTGGAACCTTCATAATAATGACTATTGCATCTATTTGTATTTCGATAGGTGATGATTACATATTATAGAGGAACCATCGCCCAAATTCTGTTGTATCCGTATTCATAAAAATGGTGCAACTACTAAATACCTATTAGTATTCTACAGAACGTCTTAGAAAGCTGTTACAAATAATTCGGGCAAGTATAAAACGTCTTCAGTACATATTCGATTATCAGTCGATCTTTATTCTTCAAGTGTACAATATGGCCGCTAAGGTAGGTGTCACCTCGCGATCTACAGGGTGTTAAATCACCTTTTTAACAACATTGTTAAAGTGTCGGTGCCGTGAAATATCGAAGTGTAGTGATAAAGATAAAACTCCGCATCGCTATATCGGCAGTGAAATATGGCAACATAAAAGTGATATATACCTACAACAGTGTGTTAGATATCATACGGGATATGTTTTTTCATGCATGAAAAATTGTTGAAAATCACCCTTGTAGTCTGAAATTTAAGACCCGGATGTTATTTTCCGGAAGAGTAACGAGTGAATCTATACAGTATGGCACAGTATAATGGGAAAGAACAACCGACTTTTTCTCATTGGAACGAAACGAAAAATTTGATGATTATAGTAGCTCGACGATATTTTCCGTCGTGTTTTGTACCTCTATTTGTCGAACGAAATGCATCCTATATAACTAAATATTTTCCTAGCCACTGAGATGTTCAACTTATATTTGATGAGAAATCCACTATTCTCAACTCATATTGATAAAAACTCTTGAAAATGAAGATGTACCTAGTCAACATCTCAATCACACGAGAAATTCAGTTCCATATAGTGAATGTGTAGTGAATTCTCACCTTTATCCGAAAATATTTTCGGAATGTAGAAGTTATGTTAACTGAAAAGCGATTAGATACTGAAAAATACTCAGAATATCCTTCAGAATGCAACTTCAAAAGCATTCATTTGCATAATAGCTAATAGCGATTAGATACTGAAAAATACTCAGAATATCCTTCAGAATGCAACTTCAAAAGCATTCATTTGCATAATAGCTCTCAAATCCAGTAGGTAGCATGAGAAAAATGTATAAGGAGGTTTCTTCCTGAAAGCTGGAAGAAATTAACAGAATTCCAGTCGTGAATGGAATCGAGAAAGCTTGTGCTTTGAAATAATAATGATTGTTGAGATACAGATGAGAATTCGCGACAATTTTTACAATAGATATCCCAAATAACATACTGAACTAGATCGATACGTAACATATATCTACTGCAATCACCCTGCAGCTGTTTGATCACAGTGTTAACATGAATAACACAATCAACAAATGCATATCAACGACGCTTTGTGAACAATGTGTAATTCATAATCATCATTATGAGTATTGAGCATCTGTTATTCTTCCAGTTTTTCATTCTCACCGCTTTGGTAGCCGTAGCAAGAGGAGGAGTAATCGGCGCTCCAGGCGCAGTAGTAGCCGCTCCCGTATTGGCCAGACTGTCAGATGCCACAATCGACCCCAACCCTGCCTACTCCTATGCCTACGACGTCCAAGATGCTCTCACAGGCGACTCGAAATCCCAAGTAGAAAGCCGAGCCAACAACATCGTCCGAGGCCAGTACACCGTAGCCGATCCAGACGGCACCCGCAGAATCGTAGACTACTACGCTGACCCCGTCCACGGTTTCAACGCCGTGGTCAGGAAGGTGCCACTCGGTGCTCCCCTAGTGGCACCAGTCGCCAGGGCCATCGCTCCAGTAGCACCTGTTGCGCATGTAGCTCCAGTAGCGCGCGCCGTAGCTGCTCCAGCGGTACTCCCGGCTCCTGTAGCACGAATATCCGCTCCTTTGGGATCCCCTGTCCTGGCCGCTCCAGGATTTGCGAGAGTGGCTGCACCGTATGTGGGTGCGCCAGCTCCACTAGCCGTAGCGCCAGGGCACGCGTCGCCCTATTATCCCTACGCTTCGCCGTATGCTGTATTGTAGATTTGTACTGACATGTTAGTTTAGGATTCAGATGTGCTTGTGTTTTGTATGATATTGTAAATAAAGATGCACTATATTTATGTTCAAAAATATTTCGTGTTTTACTTCTAATCTATTCGAAATTCTCAGATCATTTACTTTTGATCAAAGCTAATGGCTGACTGACGAAAACCGCACCTAGTCATAGCACCGCTAGTAACTATCCGATTTCAGAAAACAAAACTACTACTTCTACTACCAGTTGACACCCTAAGACAACGATTTTCAACTTTATTTTTATAATAAATTACATTGTATATTTTTTGATTTTTATACTGACAGAGGTTTTTGTGTAGATAAAATGATGTATATAAAAAGTCCTTGATTATTATTCATCGAAAGAACTAACAGCAATCTTCTACTTCACTACCAAATTCATCATTTCAAGTGGTATTCCTTGATGAATATATTTCAGTGAGAAGATCAACTTTGGATGAAATAATTTCTTTTATATAAATCTGTGTGCATGAAGAGTTAGCAGTTCAAAAATCCATGATAGCTCCACCGAATCTGGATCTTTCAAAACTCAACGTGAATCTTTGGCAAGTTTGAAATCAGATTCTATTCCCAAAGGCGATGTTGTTATCCAGAGTGAACTTCAGTTGCAGAACCTGGTATATTCCTCATGTTGATGCATACTTCATTTGAATATCCTCATTCATCGACCGTGTACTGCATTTTACGATGTTATAAAGTTCATAATAAATTCGAGCATTCGAAAATTCTTCAAACAGCTATAATTCGAGTCTCCTGAGTGATTCTGAAATTCGAAGAGACCAGCAAATATACGTATTCACTGCACCTCAGAAGGCAAAACAATAACGTGTGATAATTTTCCTTGATCGAATGTATGTAAGGAAAATGCTGCAATAACGCTACAGTTACACTTGCAGTAATACTCATACAGTAAATATAAATTCAAAGTAGTGCCTTTATGAGCAATAAGAAGTAATGTTATAGAGCTCCAGCAACTATATATATTCCGTCCCTATTCACTTCAACTCAGTCGACCACAGAGGATCACAAACTGCGAGCAGTTACTATTCAACATTTCATATTTTTATACAGTTAGTTCAGTGATACAATAATAAGCAATAAATGATAGAAGTCAACAATAGACCTGGAAGGAATCAGGAATAATAAACAATATTAGCTTCTTCCTGAAAATGAGAATGATAATAATTGATGTAGTAACAAAATGGGGGACGAAATAGTTCTGGCAAATCAAAATGACTTCATAAAGACAACTCTGCTACGACCCTGCTGTCAGGATTATGCAAAAAATGTCAAAAGCAAAGCGATAGCATGAAACACAGATTTGTATGTAGCAGAGAGGAGAGGTTAATTTCAGTTTTTTGAATCAGGACTTCACTAACTGTAATATGTCTCTGTCAAACTACCTTCAGTTAAATTTCAAATTAAGAAACAAAACAATCAATATCATTGCTATATTCATTATTGTTACTACAATCATGTACATTTTGGACGAGAATTAAGATCTCACACTTGACATACTTAATTAATAATAATTTCAGAACAGTTTCATACTGATTTAATATATACTAAGAATCGATTTCCGTAAATCTATTGTCATTCAATGTTAAGTGAATGTACTGTAAGCAAATGGTGCATTCACTCCTGGGAAAACAGGTGCTGTCCAGTATGGTGCGTTGATCAGCGGAGCTGACACTCTAGCTACTTGAGCAACAGGTGCTACAGGAACGGCCTCAACTGGCACTAAAGGAAGTGGTGCAACTGCTTCAACCACAGCAGCATTTGCAACAGCTGTCCTCGCTCCAGCAACTAAAGGTGCTGCAATAACTCTTGCTGACAGCGTTTCGACTGTGTCTTCATCTACTGGTTTGGCAGCCACTGCTGGTTGAAAGGGTACTGCTGGTTCAACGGCCACCGCGGGTTGGGCAGGAACTGCTACTAATGAAGCTACTCTCACGACGGCATTGAAGCCATTTACCGACGTAATGAGACAGTACTGGCCTCTGATTATGTCATCAGATCTGCTCTACGCATCATAATTCGAGTCGCCTCTGAGAACGTTCAGGACATCTAAGGAGAAGGAGTTCGAAGAGTACGACAACTTTTGAATAGCCACTGCTTCAACTTTACTGGTGCTATACGATTATTTGATGATAAATTGGCCTACGTCTCCAAGTTATACAAAACTCTTGGTACTATTGCACGAAAAATATTTATGGTAACAATTGATATACTTTATTGATAATAACTTCAGAACAATTTCTTTCTGATTTGATATATACATGGCAACTCTCGCAGACAGTGTCTCGACTGTGTCGTCCTACTGGTTCAGTAGCCACTGCTGGATGAACGGATACTGCTGGTTGAACGGCCACCGCGTGTTGGGCAGGAACTGCTACTAATTGCGTTGCTCTCACGACGGCATTGAAGCCATTTACCGACTTGTTGAGACTGTACTGGCCTCTGATTATGTCATCAGATCTGCTTTCCTAATTAGATTTCGAGTCGCCACTGAGAACGTTCTGGACATCTAAGGAGAAGGAGTTCGATGAGTACGACAACTTTCGGATGGTCACTGCTTCAACTTCACTGGCGCCTTAAGATCATTTGGGGATATATTTGACTCCGTCTCCAAGTAATACGGAACTCTTGGCACCATCGCACGAAAAATATTTATGGTAACAATCGACATACTTTATTGATAATAATTTCGTAACAGATGCATTCTGATTCAATATATACAAGGAATCGATTTCCGTGAATCTATTCTCATTCAGAGATAAGTGAATGTACTGTAAGTAAATGGTGCATTCACTCCTGGGAAAACAGGTGCTGTCCAGTATGGTGCGTTGATCAACGGAGCTGACACTCTAGCTACTTGAGCAACAGGTGCTACAGGAACAGCCCCAACTGGCGCTGACGGAACTGGTGCAACTGCTTCAACCACAGCAGCATTTGCAACAGCTGTCCTCGCTCCAGCAACCAACGGCGCTGCAATAACTCTCGCAGACAGCGTCTCGACTGTGTCGTCATCTACTGGTTCAGCAGCCACTGCTGGTTGAACGGGTACTGCTGGTTGAACGGCCACCGCGGGTTGAACAGGAACTGCTACCAATGGGGCTGTTCTTACGACGGCATTGAAGCCATTTACTGGATCGGCAGTGTAGTCGACGATGCGTCTGGTACCATCGGGCTCGTTCAGACTGTACTGGCCTCTGACTACGTCACCGGATCTGCTCTCCAAGTGGGATTTGGAGTCACCGGTGAGAGCGTCTTGAACATCGTAGGCGAAGGAGTATTGGGGTGCTGTGTCGTCGGATTCTTCGGATACTCTGGCGATTCTGGCTGGGACCAGTGGAGCTACTGCAGCTCTGGCGATGACTGCCAACGCAGAAATGAGGATGATCTGTTGAAAAAATACGAGCAAGTATAGAGATTCATCAATTCTGAATACTAAAGAAATTATTTATTTCCAGTGTTATATTCTTCGAGAGATGTCAACGGAATATTATTATTGTAATTATATTAGTGAGTGAGGGAGTGATTGGAACCGACAAATCTATATAAATATATCATTTTGTGAAAGATGAAGATTTTAAAATCAATTTATCATTCAAATCTCAGACGTGGATAGGAATCTCATATACAACTAACAAAATATATTACTATACCATGTTTTCCAAAACTCATGAAATGTTATATGGATGAGTTGTTCTGAATATCACCAACCTACTTTATTTTCACACATACATACTTCAGCATGCTGCTTCTATAGTTCTCATAACACTGTTCCAAAACTACTTTCCTACGGCTCTCTATTTTCGATCAATTACTAGGTAATCACTTGTGACATAACATGTGATGAAACTAGTTGGAACTAGATTTTATTCAATCAAATGAGTGGTAAAGTAATGAAAAAACAAAAACAAAAAGTTATATGGTGCAATCTTTGAACGAATGTAATTTTGTGATTATCTATAAAATAGCCTGAACAAAATGAATTTCAGAATCTCTGAAATAGTAATCGATATTCTGAAGTCTTTCGCAAGTGGTCAATATTTTGTTTTAGAAAAAAACTTACCTTAGCATTCATTTTTTGGTATTGTTCTAATCAAGATGATTCTCGAACTGATGCCGATGGGATTTCGGATCAAACTTTTTATACTCACTAGAGCGTATCCAAGAATATTAATTGATTTTGTAATAGTCCTGAAAAAAACCTTCATATAGATGATTTTTCTGGGGTATGAACTTGTACTTGACTCAATTTGTGTGTCTGTATAGCTGAAATATATCGCAATTCGTTTGTACATATCTGAAATAATTAATATTTCATTTGCGTTTTCGAGTATGGCCAAATGTGTGACCATTTGGAATAACTTTGATGACAAGGTTGCATATTCGACATATTGCTACGTTAGTGAAACATATACAGAGTATCTCAAGTAAATTTGGAGAAGCATTTTCTTGAGAACTAATATAGAAACCATGATCTGGCAGAATGAAGATGCAGTCAGGCATATTTCTCTACAATTACACAATACATATAAACATCATTGAAACAGCCACTTTAAAAACTACTCCAAGTGCTTCATTATTTTACTGCACCTCTGGATAGTTACTGTGAACTATGGTTGAGTATACAGGGTATATATTTGAAAACTTTCAATGCGAATATCTCGCGAAATAAAGAAGTTAGAATAATGCCATTTGGCACAATGGCTAAAGAGTCAAGAAGAACTAGAACCACCATGTTTCAGAGATGGCACGAGTCACCCCTTAGGAGCGACACACCCCAACTTTCAAATGTCAAATGGCACTACCCCTTTTGTAATAACTCAAATGAAAGGAATCATTCTGTAGTATTCACCTGTTTTTCTCATCCCACACTGGGTGGAACAAAAACATTCTCGACTAAATGAAATGTATTGCGTTAACATTATATTTTATTTGATCAGATGCATTCCATTCAGTTCTAAACAACAGTACAATCGATTTTCAAATTCTATTCTTGTTATGAGGATGAATCATTGCAGAATTCAGATCTATTCCAAGAGAGGTATTCCAAAATGTTAGAATGACATTCATGAATTGATTATTCTATTTCTTCTGATCAAATAATATATCATTTTGACACAATACAATCTATTTATTCGCAAATGTGTTTTTGTGTTAAATGAAAGAAAACATTTTTGTACAGGTGTATACAACTGAATGAGACCTTCCATTTGAGGTATCACAAAAGAGTAAGTGACATTATTTGACATTTTAAAGTTGGAATATGTCGCGCTCAATGGGTGACTCGACTGACTCGTGCCTTCTCTGAAATATGGTGGTTCCAGTTCCCCCCAACCCTTTGGCCTTTGTGCCAAATAATGGCGTTGTTTTTCCTTTTTTATTTCGCGAGATATTCGTATTGAAAGTTTTCGAATTTACACCCTGTATACGAATAACAGACCTGAAACGAACTATGGAACAAAATGATATTCATAATTACCAATATTTCTATTTCTATTTATTTATTGACGGGAGAACCCAATGTATAAGAAAAATACATAAATATAGTCTATACAACAGATTCCTTGACATATCACAGAACAATAATGAAGATACATTTATACATATATACACATTAAATACAATGTACATTAAATACATGTCCCAGTTCACTCTGTTACACAGCGTCATCATCCTCTTTATCGGGTTATTGTTTGCATATATAGTTCTATGAGTTTCTAAATTGAATATGCTGCTATAACCTAATCGTTTATGAGGAACATGAAATTTGAGGGAGGCCAATAATTCAGGACTATCAATCTGATCATTACATATTTTTTGAACAGTGATGATATCAGTGTTGCTTCTACGCTCTTCTAGGCTTTTCATGTTTAGTCAATTCAAAATATTGTCATAATTAAATTCCTCCATAGGAATACCGAGCTTGAAGCCGATATAACGCAAAAAATATTTCTGAACTCTATCTGTTTTCATGATATGAGCTTGGAAGGCAGGACACCACACAGAGCTGCTATTTTCGAGTGAAGAGCGTGCAAATAAAAAGTAAAGGGATTTCAACGCAACAATATTATGGAAGTCCTTTGTTGATCGTTTGATAAATCCTAGCATCTTCAGATCTTTGTTACACATAAATTCTCTAGATTATTTGTGATATTCCTCTCCTCGTTTCTATAAATATTGAGTATCATTATTTCAATATATTTATGTGTACTAAAATTCAATCGACAGTCAGTGTCACCTCTAGTGCTTGAAAATTGAGAACATACACAGCGCATGCGCTCAAGCCGCCATCTTGGATTTTATTTATTATTCTCATTATAGATCATTATATTCTCACAAAATTATAAAAAAAAAACTATAATGCACTCCAATATTATCAATTAACAGTATTATACTTTTCGTGAGAAAAGTTGAAGGCGAAAAGTAACTATATCCCTATTTTTTTAAATTCGAGAGTAGTTATTCATGACTTTAGAACGGTACAACAATGAATTTTTACTACATTTCTGTACGTTCTGATAGTCCGGGTTGATTATTGTATCATACTATACTATAAGTATCATACTATTCTGCAATGGTATTATAAGATGAATGTAGTGACTGTCGCCTATTTTACTCAACATTTGGTGTTCACTACCGACTATTCATTTAAGTCTATGCAATGATGCGAATCACTTGGAATAAACCTACTCACAAATATTCCTCTCCTAAGAATATCACAAATTCTATAGCAAGCTTTATCCATTTTTAATCAATATATCCAACGATAGCAATCAATATAACTACCTTCGACTTCTTTTCTTAGAAAGAACTTGATTTCATACTATGGATTCGATACAAGTTTCCCTTTTCTAGACAATCTCTTCCAGATCATGGTATCATAAAATTGATCTAGTATAAACAAGCAGCACCATAAATGTTCCATACACCCTAAAGGGACTAAACCTTTTAATGTTCAAATGAACATTTTTCTTATCTCACTATAAGAGCAATCTCTATTCGAATTGGCAGAGTATTCTATTTTCTCATTTGCCTGCTTGAGAACGATTCCGAGTCAATTTGTTTATTCTAAGTAGGCTACGAAATGCCTCATATACGAGGCTCTTCAAATTTGTTTTACTGCTTATTGGATTCTTCTTTGAAATATCTACTTACACGGAACCGGGTTTAATGCAAAATAAAGTCGCTATAAAAAACGCTTCGAATGAGAACTAATTCGCAAGAGGGGAAAAATTGATGTTAAAGCGAGTTGCATATTTCATACATCGTCTGAAAGCAGCTCTTTCGGGAGTGAGTATTCAAAGAGAATTAAAATTTTCAAAGACGAAGAATACGAAGATGTAAACCTATATATCAGATACTGCCTGAAGTATAATCGAAAAGGCGCAATATTCAATTCGTTGAAATTTTGGGATTTTCTCTCCTGAATGAAAATGATAATAATAATAATAATCGTATTTATTTGCTTATATCTAAGGATATTACAAAATAAAAAGAGGCCAAGTTTAGCATATTTGATACTATTCTTACACTTAACCTAACGGGTTTATATGTATACATTTTCAACATTCCGGTGTCAACCGGAATATGCACCACCATACTATAGTTGCTAGTTCTATAGTTACTAGCTAGACCTCTTCTACAAGAAGAAAAAACTCCTGGACAGATTGAAGAAAAATATATGAAAAAAACATGTATAATATTCTGATATGGAAAATGAACTTATACTTGCTCAATACCAAATCCTCTGTTCATAAACTTATAGGTTCAAAAAATGTTGAACTAATTGATTTTTTGATGATTTGATTTCAACTTTGTTCTTGAAAGTGAAGATATTGCAGTGTTTCGTTTCTTTACTTATCCTATTATGCCGCACAAAAAAAAATCCTTTCTGAAGATAGCTGTTGAATGCCGGAAGATATCGAAGATATTGGGGAATCTTACAATGATATTATGAATACTCCTTCGAGGAACTAGTTTCTCATGCAAATATGAAGGTACCCCACTCTGTACAATATTGTGAATAAAAACTGCGTATTGTCAAGGGTATTGTAGTGTTCGTCGATTCGCCATGTTCAACCAGTTCAGTTCCTTGAAATCCTTAGAAATATGATCATATTTTCGTAGACCACAGATAAACCGACAACAAGAATTCTTAATTTTCTGAATTTTGTTTTTTTGAATGACATCCAAGGATGGCCCATACACATAACAACAATAATTGAGAAAAGAAAGCACAAGAGTTTCAGATAGCATAATCTTCAGCTTCCTATTCAAAATTAATCTATTAGCGTATAATAATTGCAAATTGCAGAATGCTCTTTGTGTCATTGATTTGACCTCACTCCAAAATTCCAGATTATCATCAATTAAGATACTCAAAGATTGCACCAATTTCATATAGGGAACTAGATCCCCCCTATGTTTATGTTCAATTGCCCCTGGAATTTCCCAGACTTTTTATAAGCCTAAAGTATACTCATAGACTTTGTAGCATTCAACTTATTTAAATCATAATTATCAGACAGTGATCGTATAGTCTGCATAATCTGAATTGATTTTGTATTCGGCTATGTGATGTTCGTATGGTGAAAAATCATACAATAATTGAGTACCATCAGCAGAGCTTTGTACAGAAGCATGCTCTATTCTATTCAGCAAATCTGCAGTGTATATACTGAAGAGCAAGGCCCTAAGATAGACCCTAGCGGTACACCGGATATACTCCTAGAAGTTGATACCCTTCTATTCATCATTACTATTTGGGGCCGATGGGAGAGATATGACTCAATGAACTTTGAGGAATACCTATTAGTATTATTTCAATGAAGTAGAGAAAAGATTGAGATGCGCTTTAAATGTCACTATTAGAAACCTGAAAACCTAAAAGTTGAGTAACACTTGTTAGAAAATCATTGAAGAAAAGAGAATGAATGTATTTCGAAATGCTATTATACGTAACGAGTGTTGTAAGAAGCTTTCGCACGCAGCCGCGTGTAGCGACGAGTGTGTAAAATTATGAATGCGTTATTGCTTTACAACTAGCAGGAATCCTATAATCTCTCGCAAATCCTCGCAGATGATATTCTGCTATTGACATCGAGAAGGTTCTCATCAAATATGAATATCTTCTCAAAATAAGACCAACGAAAAGACAATAAATAACACACCAGCTTTATTAGCTAGTTGATTGAACAGATGGCAAATCACATCATAGACATCTCCAAAACATTTATAAATATGGCGTTATGATGACGATGTTTTTGAAACCCTTCCTCTTTTCAGCATCAACTTCTCACTTGGGTGTCAATACTCAATTCATCAAAATAGCCAACTTTGTCTGTATTTTAGGAAGATGTGGAATATTCAGTTCTCTTTTTCTGAAAATTTTTCTTCTTGCTTCAATATATAAAATATGGGTATCATTATTTATTGTGTAGTATGAGGACAAATCAGATGATTTGCTCCAAAATGTCACTATATACAGAAGACCTTGGACGTTTTGGGAACGATTTGAAACTGCTCCTGTTTTCAACATAAAAGTGGAAACATTGTTCAGCAACTGCTGAGACGGGAGTATAGATTTGCATGGTCTTTTCTCGATAAACCTATATTTCTTTTCTTCGAACATATTTCAGAACTATGTCATTTTCATTCGAATGGAGGTGTCATTTGGAATATATCACCAATGAATCTTCAAGACATTTATCAATTCTGCTTTCCACTTCATTGTCCTTTCTTCACTTAATTGCTATCAACAAGGATTCAGTGTCATATTTATTTGAATTTATCAGTATATTCCTGAAATATGTACAAAAACGATGCAGTAGTATCATAGAACGAAAGCGATTCACAACACGACTGTCCTTTGGGTGTAATAGGATTAGGACACGTTTCTTTCCTGTCGAGTGAAAGATTCAGTTATGAGTTTTCGTTATTGCTGAAAAAGTTAGAGTGCTGAATATTCTCTCGCTTGAGGCATCTCTGGTATTATCTTCGTGAAAATTATATGTAGAAACATGATATGATGAGAAATTCATATGAGATAGTTGCTAGATCACATGTTCCATCCCTAAGTTACATGTGATTCTCTTCAAGAAATTCAAAATTTGTCAGCTCTATAGACATCACCAGAAGGATTTTTCATACTACACAACAAACAGTTGGAGTTGTTCGAAGAGTAAAAAACAGACAATGTAATATTCAATACATTATCAAATATGTCGTGGCAATGACTTATCAATGTATACCTTCTTCGTCTCACTACTTCCCCACACCGACAAGTAATGGAAAACTTCCTCAATTCATCAATATATTCTTGAAATTTATAGAAATATGTACAAGAACAATACTGTATCATGAAAAGTCACGATAACAAATCATCTACACAAAAGCATAATTCAACTGCCCGTTAGCAGCGACATAGGACAAACTGATCTTTGCCAGCCCTGGCGCAGCAACTACCGGTGCTCTAGCAGCTACTACCACAGCTCCTGGCAGGGCGACAGGAGCTACTGCTCTGGCCACGACCGGAGCAGCCACTCCCAACGGAGCTCTCCTGACGACGTTGGAGCCATTGTTTGGGTGGGCTGTATAGTCGACTACGTCTACTTTGACTACGTAACTTTCCTGTCAAGTGAAAGAGCAAGTCATTAGTTTACCTAATTGCTATTAAAAAGTTGAAGGGCTGAATATGTTCTGGCTTGAGGCATCTCTGGTATTGTCTTCGTGAATATTATGTTTAGAAACATATTAATGATGTGCATGAAGTTCATATTGTTATTTAGATAAGATAGTTGTTAGATCACATTTTTCATCATTAATGTGGTACGCTTATGTGAAATGACTCCTCAATTCTTCTATCCTTCGCCTCACTACTCCCCTACATCGACAGGAAATCAAAAACTTCAACACTCAATTCATTAATATATTCATAAAACGTATAAAAATTTGTACAAGAACAATAACGTATCACCAAAAATCACAATAACGAATCATTTACACAAAAGCATAGCTCAACTGCCCGTTAGCAGCGACATAGGGCGAACCAATTCTTGCCAGCCCTGGCGCAGCAACTAGCGGTGCTCTGGCAGCTACGACCGCAGCGCCTGGCGCAGCAACTACGGGCGCAGCAACAGGTGCTACTGCTCTGGCCACGCCCAACGGAGCTCTCCTGACCACGGCGTTGAAGCCGTTGATCGGGTCGGCTGTGTAGTCGACAATCCTTCGGGTGCCGTCGGGTTCGGCCACGTTGTACTGCCCTGTCACGATCCCGTTGGCCCTGTTCTCGATCTGGCCCTTGGAGTCTCCGGTGAGAGCGTCTTGGACGTCGTAGGCGAAGGAGTAGGAGGGGTTGGGGTCGAAGGTGTCATCGGCGATTCTGGCCAGGACAGGGGAGGCAACTAGGGCTGCCGGGGCCGGTAGGACTGCGGCGTTGGTGGCAGCTAGGATGCTGGCCAGTAATGCAAGCTGTAAGGAAATCAGACATTTGCTTATGAATTATCTCGTGAATAACATTGTTGAAAGGACGTTGTGCAGTTGTGGTAAAAGGGCAATGATTATTTCATTTCGTTTTTACAAATTGTTAGCATCCTAGTTGCTGAGAGAGAACGAGCTTATTGGTCTCTTGTTGAGAATACATAATTTATCAACACGTCAGATGTCATATCCTAGTGTGATATGAATAGAGGTTTTTGAAGCCTTTGATATATTATAGAAGAATCGTATAGATACATTTCATATTCCGTGCTTCAGTTCTTATGTGAAGTTAGGTAGTGAAAGTTATTTTGTTATAAGGTGAAGATCTGTACTAGCTGCATATACGCTGTGATATACGTAACTGATCAATAGAATCAAGAGATTACGTTTTCGTGTAAAATTTATTATAAAATCGCAAACCGCTTTCGGCTAAAAAGCCATCATCAGTGCTATACTCGTGAAGTATTTACAAAAAAGTCCAAGAATTAGTGATCGGCGACATCATTATGGTACAAACGGAATTAGGAACAGATATACATTCAACAAAAAAATTCCCTAATGAGTTATATTGTGAAATTTTCAAAAATACATTCAAAATTTTTCAAAAACCCATTAGGGAATTTTTTATCAATACTTCTTACAGATTTTCTTGTCATGAATTTGTTGATTTGTTCACCCCTCCTGATCTCTTCATTCTATTGATTTCGTTATAGTAAGATAAAATGGGCTTATATGTATTGAATGTATGTTATGGTGGAAATAGTCATGTTCATTTTGATACTCAAAGTTCATTGCCAACAGGTGAAAATATTCCGTGCTGATATTCCGAATGACATCAGAAACTCCAAACTAGAATATGATTTTCACTATTATCTATAATGCATATTATATGGGGATACATTTTATGAATATTTGGCGCATTTCATCACTCAACTTTGAACCTAATCCATATATCTATCCAATTTGAGTTATATCGTAGCCTGATGTATTTTTTCGAGACCTAGGCATTTGAATCGTTCTCGATTCGATTTTCAATTTATTATTGCATTCTGAAATTTGTCATTCATCTTTCTAACTATTTATGATTTTTTTCCATCTCTTTATTATTAAAAAAATTTATTATTTCAATGTATTTGCAGATGATTTGTCACAAAATGTCACTGTCCTTAAAATATTCATTTTTGAAATATAAGGAGAGAATCAATCTGTGACAGCTTGTTTGGAAAATGTTTGGAAAACAAGAATGGAGATATATTTTTGAAAATTCAAAATTTCATTCAACGTTCAGGGAATTATTGAAAATTCATATAATGTTGTGAGAATTGGAAATTTGTAAGTATTCTGATGAAATTAAAAACCATATGACCGCCAATGCTGAACGGTCGCAATGTTATAGATACTTCAATTACAAAACCGTTTCATTTCGTTAGATCTACCAGACTGCTCCTTCAATATTGGATTCGTACTAACAGATTGTTTATCACACACAAAATATACCTTTGATTTGAATTCGATTACTTGTTTAATTGAACCCTTGTGAGATTCTGATTCTAGATAAAAACGAAATGAAAGAAGTTTGTAAAATTGTCAAGAATTTCCAGATTGTAAGTAGTTGATTATCTCCAAATTAACGTTCATTCGCTTATTTTCCAATTATTATGTATCTATCATCAAGAAATGAGCTCGAATTGATATATCACAACGTTCATTGTCTACATTTGAAGCTTTAACACTTTCTTCGCCGTAATTCAGACGCATTTCCACTTATTGTCACTTTGTATTCCGCCAGACCCGCGAATCACTTATCACTTTTGTTTTCCACCTACCTTGAATGCCATTTCGACTGTTTGGATGACAATAATGGTGTCAACGGTGCTCGACTGTCTATTATCTTCAAAGCCTACTTGGCTTATATACATGCTCATTTTGGTTTCATAATTTAGTGACGAACGATATACACGCTGAATACTTAATGCTTTATCAAGGTGATGGAACTAAATGAATCGGGATTCATTCGTCATACAAAATGTAAAAAGTAAGTTAGGCTAAACCTGGCTATATGATCTCAAAATTGAACAAAAACAAATCCACTTCTAAAAAACTCTGGAGTATCACTGACAAAATTTTAGGCAAGATGAAAATAGTATAAATGAAATCAAGTGCATAAATGACAACGAGAGGAACCTCAATTTAGAATACTTTACTACTCACTATATACGAAAGAGGTACAGCTTGCCGAAAAGAATCACTGTGAATCAAAATTACATTTTACGTCCTAATTTCCTAACAAAAAACCGACTATTTCCACTTCTATTTATTTTATCTTATTTTTTTCTCACTTTCCCTGCCAATAAATGCTTATTAATAATAACCAACACTAATACTACTCCATATCAACGATTTGTTGGAAGCAACTTCATGTCCAGTACACAGCTTCGCGGATGGTAGTACCCTCCATACCGCCTTCTCTTTCAGGGCTCCAATTCCAGCCAGGCAAACCAGAAACGAACGAGGGAAAAATGTTGGCAACATAAATATGGACTTGGTGAAAATTCTCGAATGGGGATCCAATAACTTGGTAGATTTCAATGCAAACAAAACACAAGCATGCCTTTTCTCTAGAAAAGCCGATCTCACTGTGCCCAACATAAGCTTGTCCGGAGTAACCATACCTTTGAATTGATTGATTGATTTCTATCAGTAATGACCTTTCTTGGAAAATCTCGTGAGAACAATTCCTAAAAGTGCATCCCAAAAACTTGGTTCTCTGCTGTTTCGGGCCAGGAGCTATTCCACTTCCAGTCAGCTGCTTATGATCTATAAGGCACAGATCCGACCCGTCCTGGAATACTGTTCCCATATTTGGAGTGCAGCATCCAAACATATCCTGAAAATGTTGGATTCTGTCCAAAAAAGGGCAATTCGTCTCGTTGGTGATGCCTCGCTCACAAACTCACTCACTTCTATGGAACACCGTAGAAAAGTTGGCGATCTGGCTGTATTTTATGGATATCTTCATGGTGCTCTTCTGGAATATCAACAATTGTTCCTCCCTTGGCAGTCCCCGCGAGATTAACCCGTCGAGTTGAGGCTTCGCATCCCTTCGTGGTCACTCTTGAGACCTGCAAAACATCTCTTTCCAAAGACTCGTTCATCCAACGAACAGCGAGGCTCTGGAACACATTGCCAAGGGAGGTGTTCCCCAAGGCATAAAACCTCCGGAAATTCAAGGAGAACACCAATTCCTGTCTCATTTCCCTTGGTTCTCACGATTCTCACCGATGTTCACCGATATGCAAGAAATGGATTTGAATGAATTTGTTGAACGATGTGACTACAATGGCCTGTACAGAATCATGGAATCGTTCATCGGTATTTTGTTAGATATTTTTTCACCAATCCGGTCGCAGTGTGCCGTACGAATTGGAAAGCTACACTTGTGTTTTTCCTGACCTTCCTGATTATGATGTAAGTTTTTGAAAAAACAATACGATTCATAAACTCAAAATTGTGACACTTGAAGAAAAGTTTTCCAGGTCCGGTTCTGGGCTTTTTTCTCCATATGAGGCCATCGTGTGGTGTGTCAGTAAAGGTAAGTTGCTGGTGAATTTCGGGCGATAACATCGAGACGTTCCTGAAATATCGTTCATCGAAGTTTCGCCCCGAATTCAAATAATGCCTTGTATTTCTGTTAGTAATAGGCAAAATATATTTTTTCACATCACACCCTGAGTTCCTCTATCTACAATCAGGCTTTGGCTGGTTAGTCATGACTCACCCTGTAAAATACTTTATACGGGACATTTACCGACATTCATCCCATCCGGATAAATAAACGTTTTTGAATGGCACAAAACAGTTTTTGTTCAACGCCTCCTGTTCCTGTTTCTTCTTGATTAATTAAATTCCCCAGATATCTTATCAGAGAAACTAAGATTTTGGATACGTTCCTAAAGAAAATAGACTAGATCAAGATAGCGCCCAAGTTTTTGTACTCGAGTTTCATTGTTTATTTCTCGGGTTTCCAGAGAAAGCCTGACAAAAACAAAGATTAGTTATAACTTCTCAACGTATTAAGGATGAAGTTTGCAGTTGACTTCATGATGACAAAAACGCTGTCCTTAATTTGATACATACCGTATTTCGCTTCGTTGCTTTCTCCAGAACTCCGAAAGTTTTTTTCAGGTAAAAAGAAGCGATCCTCGGTTATTCGACTGACTATCTGACTATTTTTTATTTCAATATCTTTCCCTTGAATGACAAGAAGCTCCAGCTGGTATATGACATTATTTTTCAACCACTCTATAGCTTTATCAGAAAGTACTATTATTTATTACGTTTTCAACCTGAGCTATCATTGTTGACTACCTATACAGGGTGAGTCATGAGGAACTTTACATACTCCAACCACGAATAGAGGTACCTGAGGGGAATACCTGATGACCATCAGAAAGTGTCTGCTCCTTTTCTTCACCAGGACATAAATAATAGTACCTAAACGGAACCTCTTATGACGTAGAAACCTCAACTCGCCATAGTTAAAAGAAAATACCAAACGCCCGACGGAGACTGAGAGGAAACTGAAATATTAATTCTTTCAACTGCGATCTGGCGCTAATTCACTCTGTCAGAAATCATGTATCATTCATCTCTGTCTGGAATAGTCTTGTTTCAGTATCAGGGTTTTGACGTCACATCATCGCCTCGTTTCCAGAGGTCCGAAAAATCGGGGATTTCAATAATTTTTTATAAAACGTAGGGAGCTCACAGCAAGAAACGGTTTGCGGTGGTGAGCTAGTTTGGGTGAGTTCTATCGAATTATGAAATTAAATTTTTTTGTGATATAAGCCCATTGTATCGATGGTGATAGCACCTGGCCAGCTCGGTCGCCAGACCTTACCCCACTTCATTTTTATTTGTGGGGCTACTTGAAACAACAGGTTTATGAGTAGCAAATTGTGAATATGGAAGAAATGGGAGCGAAAATCATAAATTAAGGCGCACAAATTGATCGCAACGTGATACATAGGGTCACAATGAACGTTATCAAAAGAGCTAGGAAATGTTTTCAGCAGAAAGGACAAGATATTGAGCAGTTGAGGTTTAAATTATCCTCTTTTCATTCGATTTCAATCTTGTTATATTAATAAAATCTAAACATAAAACTTCTTATTGAATAGTTTAATTTTTTGCCATATCTTCGTAGTCGTTTGAAAAAAATCCCATCAAACCCGGCATCGTTGAATTTGTAATAATGAACTCTACTTGAATATGGAATAATATACTGGGTGTCCTTATTAAAATAGAAAAGTTTAAGTGCACTTTGGTGTGACCCTGTATACCTACGATTCATTCAATAGCAGATTTCTAGTGAGCATCATCAAATATACTGGGTGACCAAATTTCAAGTCATTCGATCTTGCGGTTGATTTTTTACAGGGGGGGACATTTTAGCTGGGACACGGTGTATAGAGCCGCTCTGAGTAGTATAGACCCGCTCTCACGCTCAGGTAGTAGTTTTCCACATTGCACTACATATACCGTTTCACTTCTTCTCTGATGCTCACAACTACATCATCATTCCTTCCTAATAGGTATTTTTTGTGGACATTGTTACTAGCCCATCCGCCAATTCAGGAGCAGCACTGTTAATTGGAACGCAACAGTAAATCGTACAGAACCATCTCTGGTCAAGGCTACGAAACTCAAAATTGATAGCTCGCATCATAAATTGAAAAATTCTCTGCTCCACGACGAGGAGTAAGAGGAGGTGAAGGAATATTCGTTCTCAGGACCCTTATTAGATCAGGAGACCGATCAGTTCAGTTTTTTTTCCTTATCGCTAATTCCGCTCAATGAAGAATGAACACTGAATACAAATCAATACATACAAGGTGTCCCAGAACAACGTACCATGATTTCTACAGGGTGAACTAGAGATCAAAATAGACCGATTGAAGTCAACTCACCTTTATACGAAAATGCACCGTTGAGCCGTGAGACGGTGATAGAGAATAATATTTCGAAATCCTTGAAAATAACTGCTCTGAAATTCGTAGGGCAATTTACTTCAGTGACTGTGCATGCGAAACATGAACTAATCCAATCAGTATATACGTAGTTAGGTATTTCGCATTCCCTTTTATGAAAAACAATGTAACTTCTTTGGAGTACGGTACTGGCCCTATTCTGATATTTCTAAGTATTTATTTATTTATTTATTTATTTATTCATTCAATTTTCCAGTAGACAATTGCAAAAAAATTGTATAGGAATAGTCAAATGGGTAAACTTATATCTAAATACAATACAATACAAAACAACACAAAAATGAATATGAATAATACAATACTACAGGTAAAACAACAATAGTAAAATAATATTACACTTGATAAGTATGATATGATAGTAGGTAATAATTAAAATCAAGAAGAAAAACAGTATGTATAAAACGTAAGATTTGAATTAAAATACTTGAGAAAAATATTCATCGACAGAATAATACGAATGTTCCTCTAAAAACACTCAAAGGGATCTTTTGAAACAATTCAAGGTCTTACATAGTTTGATCTCATTAGGTAGAGCGTTAAAAATTTTCGCTGCCATGATATTGGGCGAATTTTTCGTTACATTCATCCTACTGAAAGGGATATAAAAATCATATTTTTGTCTAGTATTTACTCCGTGGCGGAAATGTTCGTGTGAAAGTTTTCTTTATTGTGAAATACATATAGACACGATTCTAGAATTAGTAATGACGGTAGTGTCAGAATTTTCAGGTCCCTAAAAATGTCACGACATGTTGTTCTCTTGGACACACCTACTAAAGAACGAACAACGCGTTTTTGCGCAATAAAAATATCTTGTGCGGAACTGGATAGACCCCAAAAGCAAATGCCGTAACGAAGTCGGCTGTCAATCTGACAA